TGACAGTGCCAGCATCGCAGCCAATACGGTGGCAAGAATCTAATCCAGCTAACAATCCAACAAGAAAACAAGCATCGTGTGCCGCCAGCTTTAATGTCGTGACACTGCCATGTTTCTTGATAAAATTAGAAGCTATACGTTAAACTTAAGAGCAGGTAAAAGCTAAAGGACGACAAAGACGTATATTGTAAGTATTTTTCTGGGATGGCAGATAACGCGTTACTTGTGACGTTACTTATCTTATTGTTACTTATTGTTATAATAACGATTTGGTAATAATGAGTATACAATTGAGAGAATACAATGTACGAAATCCAGATGAAATATCAAAAAATTTCAATACAATTATGCAAAACTTTCTATAAATAGGACACTGGGAACTAATGAAAAATTTTAGTAACAAGTTTTTTCCATCTTTTCTTTCAAATGTTATCAACTATATTTAAAAATGTCACTAAAAATATCAAAGAAAAACTATCATTGAGAACTAATGAGTTAATTTAGCTTATAATATATATTTTTTTAGCATTTGAACTTCGCGGTTGCATTTTTCGTCATTTCTTATTGGTTCATTACACATTACGTTACGACAAGTGACATCATGATTTGCAATGATATATCTGTCTTTACCTCATGTACGGCTGAGTCCCACAAAATTCATTGCCAGTGCTGAAAATCTATAATGTATGTAACGTAAACTGCAGATTTTCAGCGCTGACATAGGCCGCGTTTCGTTATTCACTGTCAGTACTGGCAGCATTGCACATACCGTTCCAATATATGTCGCAGTACACTTCCAATATACTTTTCCATCTATATGACGTCATAAATTTTTGCGTCACTTTCTACTTCTATTACTGCGGCTGGCGAGGTCAAGCAATCGCAGTAAAAAGATGGCGAAATCCAACGAAATGGAAAATCCGGAAAAAATGTGTTTTTTAGATGTCGAAACGAATGAAAGTTATGAAATATTAGTGAATAAAGAAGATGCAGAAAAGGCACGCAAAGGTATGTATATAATTAAAATTACAAATTATATATATACACGATGATCCATTTTAATCGACGGATCCAAATATCTCCTAAAATACGCCAGCTACAAAAAAAATCGTTGGGACAAAAATTGTCGAAGACAATGAGGGTCATTTATCTGTGCTAATAATTTTTACTTTCAGGTCGATTTTCAAGGTTTCTCCGTTTCTTTTCCTTCCATGTAATAGAGAACTCTGGTTGGTTCAATTTCTTATGCCTCATGTGTTATGCGTTATGCAAGAGTCTGTGCTCTCCGCTATAGCATTAAAGTGGTTCTGCACTTGCACCATGTCAGGGCAGCACTAGAGCGGAGTCAGTGCATGTATGCCGAATTCACCAGCAGATAATATCCAACGTCAGTACATCAGAATACGCGGTTTCTGATAGATTGAAATCTTAACATTTATTATTCCTAATATTTCCTCCATTGTGCGCAGAGCCTTAAGTCTTAAACACAATGCAAAGGAATAGCGATAGCGATAGGAACATCACAATTTCAACCTATCAGAAATTAGGTACACTAGAATATACACTAGAATATACATTTCTGATAGGAA